TGATTTATTTCCCAAAGGGGTAATAAATACAGCAGGAATTGAAGTGGAGATGTATATACTAGATATAAGGTAAATGAAGGCTGCTAGTGTGTGTGTAGAAAGAATGCTGGGGAAGATTATTTTTCAATGTGTGGATCAGAAAGAGGAAGATAACCAAGACTTGAATTAGATTGTGAAGTTCCGTTATAGGGTGACATATTATTGCGAACAGGAAACAAATAAAACGAGTAAAAATATTAAAGATTTTTATTCTCAAACACAGGTTCTTAAAAATGATTCCAACTTACAGCCTATTGGGTTCAATATACATAAGATAATCGTCTACACTAACAATTTTCTGTGGTGGCAACCGACACGTGACACCGGAAACAAAGCACGTGGGGGTGACTTATAACTAAAACTTAACCTACTTACAAACTAAGGAAGGAGAAATAAAATATAGATAAGGATAGGAGTAGAATAAAAGGAAAAGTACCCGGGATTTTTCTCTACCACGTGGTCTCGGATGATTCACCGTCTTGAATCTTTGAATGGCTCCAGACCTTAATTTCTTTCCTTTTATGAACGTCTACGTTTTCTGGGGTTGTCTTGTGGTCTTCCTGCTTGTTGTTACTTGAATCTGGAAAAACGCAACTTCTTAGCAACGGTCCTACGTTACTCTATAATTCAGCCGTCTCTTACAAGGTTCCGACACCTCTGATCTCTCTCTAGGCGATCAAGGTGTGATCCTCCTTCGGCCTTCTTTCGCAAGGTTTTTTTCTCACTTTTTGCTCGACTCCTCGGTCAGGACCGCACTCGTTTCTCCGTCCTCTCTCGACGAAGTCCCAGTTTCTTCTCCTCTCTTCCACTTCCATTCTCCCCTAGGGCTTGTTGTTCCTTTTGTCTCATGACATTGTTTCACAGAGTCGGTGATGTCACCAGAGGGAATAGGGATTAAGGGAGAAAGTTCTAGAACAGATAAGACAAAGGAACAAAGGAAATACTAAGCCTAGCTAAAGTTAACAAAAATATATATATAAACTATAGCTGACGGCCTCAAGATAACGACAAGAGAACAAAACTCAGTGTTCAAAGAGTCTCTGACAGAAGGAAAATTGCCCAACACCATATTGTTTTAATTTTATGCAAACAAACCTGCCCATATTGTCCAGAACCATATTTTGGGGCCAGAAGTACAACTGTCCTGCTTGACCTTCCTCATATCTTTTCTTTCCCTTGTATTTCTGTCACTTAAAGTTTTAAGTTAATTTAAGAGATCACAAATGAGGAATCACTAAATGTTTGTCACAATTATTGTAAGCTTGTAAATAATAAATTGTAAAGCTTGTAAGATTGCGAAATAAACCTTTGTTTCATACGATAATGACCTTTGTGTAATTCTTTTGCAAGATGGAAACATAAAATTATACTGGGTATAGCTATTACTCAGACCAGAAATTGCATGTTCAGTTTTAACAGGAAACTTTGAAATATAAATAAATAATATGGAACGTATATATTTGATTTTTTAACTTGATACTATAAATATTTTCAGCTGCATAAACATAATATTCATGTACTTTTATGATGTGCTTTCTATTCCAATGCATGAGCCTGTAAAATGTAGAAGTATTTATTTATTAGTAAAATTATTCTGCATATTTTTTAGTGTTTTTTTATTTGTAAAAAAATGTTCAGCAGCATCAGTTATCATGTTGCAAATGAAGGTTTAACTTATTATTGTGATGTATATGTGAGTGATTTTACTTGATACATTTTTAGTTGTAAATAAATTTTATAAAAATAATTTTGAGATTTGGTAATAAGTTATAAAGCTGTTTTCTCTACAAAATAAATTAAACTTCTGCTTTGACTGCTCTGCTCTTATGGCATGTATATAAGTTCTGTTATGATTAGTGTTGGACCGACTATTTGTCATTATTTAGTATTTGGCACAGCAAATTTGATATTTGGTTAAATATTAAACAGACATATTTAGTATTCAAACTAAATATGTCTGTTTTTAGTATTCAAACTAAATTGGTGGAATAGTTTCTCTTAATAATAATGCTTAATATTAACAATGCATAGATTTAATTTGTTTTTGATTTTTTTTAGAATATAATTTTGTAAAATCATGCAATGAGAAATTAGTGCATGACTTTGCCTAAAAATATCATAAAATTTGATTATTCCTGGAATGTTTTGGCAGAAAAAATAGTGTCATTTTATACATGAAGTAAGACTAATTTAATTTTGAAAAATATAAAAACAAAATTTAAAATACATATAACTTGTTCTGAAAATATTTTTGTATGCTTTACAATTTTTCTTGTTATTCCGTAATTCTTTTTTATAACTTGTATGTGTGTCTGTCGTGAATTTTTGTATGTAAGAATCATTCTATATGCAACAAACTTTATACCGTTGTTAGATCATATTAGCTAGTTTGATAGAGTGTTGAATCAATTCTTTAAGGTAGGGCTTCTTAAACTATGGGTTGTGACTCCATTTGGAGTCGCTTAGTGAAATCTTGGGATCACGAGATTTTAATGCAAAATATTGAAAATAGTTTGTGAGAGTTTGAAAATGGCACGCTTTGTGTCATAGGTTTTGTGAGTTGCACTTTGTGTCACTTCTGGTGCAGCGAGACAGCAATTCAGCAACACTGATTGTAGTGTGAACTAGTGTAGTGTTGTTGCTTTTTAGTGCATTCAGTTGTCTCTGTTCCATTGTAACACAAGAGTGAACTGTGGTAGTACACCATTATTGTTTTTGCAAATTTGTATATATCTTTGTGATTTTTTTCACAACCCAAAAAATATAAAATAATCATAAATAGGGTCGTTAATAAAAAAAAGTTTAAGCCCTACTTTAAGGTAAGTAAGTCTATTGATGTTTAATTGAATTTTGTCAATTTGCTCATGTTGATTTCTATTTTTTTTTTTTTTTTCTTACAAATGACAAGTGAGTTATTTGTTTCATGGTTGAAAACTCTGGCACTTAAATAAACATGTTTTTGTGGCTTGTATGCAGTTTTCATTTGACTGAAATGACCTGTTATGTACGTACCTTAATTTTGTATCATTTTTTAGCTTCTCATAAGTGCTTTAACTGAAATGGGAAGTTTTTGCAATGAATTTATAAGTAAATGCCTTTATTTTCCAGCAGTTATTCTTTCTGTTAAATGTTTTCATCCTTATTAATAGGTGTTCGTCAGGCTCACAATAGTAATTGAAATGGTCTTGTAATGGCTATTAAAACTCTGAAGAGTTTCAATTTGAACTTGTGGATTTAAATACAATGTACTATAGAGAGTTAGGAAGATATATTTCCTCAACTGAATGTGTACAAATGAAGATTTTTATAGATAGCTGACAAAATAGGGTGGTTAGATTCATGTGCATGAAACTGGCAAGAACATTGTGCTTAGATAAAACAGTTGAGATATCCCAGACAATCCCCAGACTGTTTGCCAATGCAAAAACTCACAAACCTAGTAACACTGACAAGTGCGATCCACTGTAGGCCAAATGATCTTCCTGATTATATCGGGCCATACTATGTAACCATATTATGGTTACTAATTAATAATTGAAGCAGAGCATTAGCAAAACTTGTTTACTCAACTCCCATCCTATATGAGCCATTTGAGGTCTCCTCAATTGGCTCATTATGTTGGGTGGGGGTTAACTAGGATATGTTGGCTCTATTTCTTACTGCTTGGGCATCTTGTTTCAGGCCTGGCCAAACCTGTAATAGAAAGGTAACACCCTCTTAGTATCTGAATGAATAAATGAAAGAATTAAAAATAAAAGTAAAGTATCAAAAAACAAAATTGTTCTCAGAAAGAAGTGTTAAAATAGGTTCACACTTTCATACTAACAAATGAAACAAATAATAATCAAAGCAGAATATTGTTTGCTTTGTTCTAGGTGACACAAACTAAATTAGGGCACGATTGGTTAAAAATCATTTGACCACTAGTTGTGAAAAGTCAATTGATCAAACAAAATCTGAAATTTGGCAAAAGTCAAGATATTCTCAACTCTTAACAAACTGGTCAAACGCTTGCATTTCATATCTGCTTTGTAATGTTTTATATGCCAATGTGAACCTAGCTTTATCATCATGCATGGAACAATTTGAAAACAAATTTGATAGCAATATAATACCAAACTATTAATTGAACTTTATTATTTAAATCTCTCTCCTGGTATTTTGGTTGAAATGTTTTCACAAGTGCACATAGACATTATTTATCAAACATAAAATGATCAGGAAATAAAATTTCAAAAGGACTTCTAGTGACAAATTATTTTTTTTCCCCAGAAAGCCAATAAAGATAAGTGTTTATATATTTGCTATTACTTTTCTATGTAGTTTGACCTTTTTGAACAGTAGATATAATTTATTAGTAATTTACTTATTGAGAAGGCTAGATGGCTATGTAGCTAAGGTGGCAGCCTACTGCTCTGGGGACTCTGTATTCAATTTGGACAAGTCAAGAAACCCCCCAGGAGTTTTCCAGAGTTCATCCAAATATTGGGCCTCATCCCTTGCTGCCCAGTTGCCCCATTGTGGGCCAGTTTAAACCCATAAAGGGCATACCTAAAAGGCCTTAGTGCTCACAGGAGGGAAAGAGTTTTAAAAAAAATTTGGTTATTGAGCTGAACTTCAGTTTAAATATTGCAAAGTGTGTGTTGTTGTTGTTACATAAAATAAAATTTATCATTGTTTACATAAAATTTCCATAAATTTTGAATGAAAATATTGCAAAAAAAATCCTAACTTTTATTAATACTTTCTAGAAACTTTATGAAACTATTTTCAGGTTAAGGCACTTAAGTAAAGATTTCAGAAACTTGGGAAGTATTTCATTAAAATCTTGAAAATGAAAAATTTTGCAAAAGTATTGACTTAATTAATCATAATTATTATTTAATTCAAATTGAATGTGTATTCAATAAAATTAGTGTTTGTATTAGCTTTAATTAATTTTTTTATATTTTATATGTTAGCAGGCAAAATCAGAAGATGGAAATGGATCGGTATGTAGCAGTCAGAACACGGTCAAAAAGATACTTCCGTCCGTTCCCAACACCGAAACACATCTGAATACTTCGGTGAAGAGGATAGAAAGAACGACAAATAATACCAAAGCGAACAAGAGTTACGGTCCATATTTTCTCGAATATTCTCTGATGGCTGAGTAGTAAGTAAAATATCTTAATTGTATTGATACTTTTTCATTTGGTTTGAATTTCTACAAATGTTCTTTACCAAATAATGAACAACTCTTGTATTTGGTTAGATGTATTGATAAGTCAATGTATTTAGTGTCTGTTTTAGAATAATATCAATGATGAACATTTTGTCTCTCATAAATAGTTAGTTTTTACTTTCCTGGCAATTATAAATAATAGAGGGAAAGTGTGGTGATTGGTCAAAAGAAATGACCACCCCAGATTTAAAAATTTTTGGAATCAGTACCTTGAAATGTAGAAGAGATATGCAGAAAATTTTGGGGTTTTCCTGTATGTACGTGGTGTGTTCAAAAAGTATCAGACCTTTGGTCGGCAAAAATAAATTTATTGACTTTGAGGTACAAAACCCTAATCCCCTTCAAAGTAGTCTTTTTGGTAATGTATACACTTCTCCCAGCATTCTTGCCATTGCTGGAAACACTGCTGGAACATATCTTTTGGAATGGCCATCAGCCGGTCCGTCGGATTCCGCACAATGTCTTCTCTCGACTAAAATCGGGTTCCTTTTAGCGGCATTTTCAGCTTGGGAAATAGCCAAAGGTCACACGGAGCGTGACGAACCACAGGAGTATTGTGTTTGGCGACGAAAGTCCGAATCAGATGCGCAGAATGGGTGGATGCGTTATCACGATGGAGCTCCCAAGTTTTGATCGACCACAGATCCGGTCGTTTGCGTCGCACTGTATCGGAAAGACGACAAAGGACCTCCTGGTAGTACTGCTTTGCGATGGTTTGGCCTTGTGGTGCGTACTCGCGACACACCACCCCACGAGAGTCGAAAAAACTGTCAACATGACCTTTGATATTGCTGCAGACCTGCCGCACTTTTTTTGGCCTCGAGGATCGTCCCCGAAAGCCTGCTGAATCTTGCGAATGGTTTACGCTCGGGTATCGCCAAGGTTTTTGGCAAAATTTGATGTAATATCGCTGCTCACGTTGTTCAGTCATTTTCCAGCTTAGTGGAATCCGACAAGAGCGCACTACATGACCTCACTCATAGGCCGATTGCCAACGACTGACGCTTCCTGCAGGCGGGAAAAAATTCAGGGCTGTGCATGACTGTCCTCTCCACAACTCCACCAAAGGAGGCCTCTCTCGCATCATTGGTTTACGCGGAAAAAAAAAGGTCCGATACTTTTTGAACAGACCACATATGGATGTTAATGTGTGTCTATGGGAGGGCATGATTTTGTTTACCCTCTTTGAAGCTTAATAATTCCTGTGCTTTTTGTCAAAAATTTCTGAAATTTTGCAGGGAGGTTTGTTTATTAGGAGGATTGATGCTATTAAATTTTGGTAGTTAATCTCCCCACTCTCTCAACCTTTAAAGCGGTTGTTTTTATCTCCAGTAGATTGGATTTAATGATGATTTTATTTATTATTAGCATTTACAATTTTTTATAAAATTCCTCCCTACCCTCAAAAGTAAGCTTTTTGCCATTTTATAATAAAAATTTAAAAAGTTTTTAATAATAAAATATCATAACAGATGGTGACACATTCAGTTTTAAATGTTGCTGGGAAAGTTAAGCAACTCGTTGCTGGAATTTAAAAAAAATTCTTTCTGGCTTGTGGATATTGTCTTCTTGCCATATTCATTATGCTAGTTTATTGCATAGTAAATAGCTAGTTTAAAACTAATTCATTCATTTTTAACTGTTGTTGTGTTTTTTTTTTTTTTTTTTTTTTTTTTTAAATTTGAAAATTAACTTGTTTGTNTTTTTTTTTTTTTTATGCAACTAGTCAAACATCTTTACTATACCTGATACAACTAATGCTATCCATCGACCAAAGCTGAATATTATCGGGCTAGAAACAGCTATAATACTAATAATTTAATAGACAATTTGGCATTAGAGTTAGGCGTTAGGTGCCATCTCTTAATAAATTTAATATTTATAAATTAATTAAATAATTTAAATAATAATTTAGAATTACTGGAAGAAAAGAATTGGCTCAAAGTGGGACTTGAATCCTCAACTCCTGCTTACCATGCAGATGCATTGCCAATTATGCTACCCGGACCTTCGGTCCAATCTCTTCTTTCAGCATATATAAGCTAACGCTATAATAAACGCCTAACTCTAATGCCAAATTGTCTATTAAATTATTAGTATTATAGCCGTTTCTAGCTTGATAATATTTGGCTTTGGTTGATGGATAGCTTTTTTTATACAATCAAAGAGATTGTATTAATCAATTGTATTGTCAAATTCTAGATAAAAATTATTGTTGTTATTCTGGATTTCTTTAAAATTATATGAATAATAATTAAGTAAATTGTTACTATATAAATTTCTTCTTTTCAGTGTTCTCTTGCAAAAGCAGCAGCTGCCTGGCTTGTATGTTGTTCCCTCTGCTGGATCAGCACTAAGTACGTTCTCTGTATGCTTTAATTTTTATCAGTATTCTATTTTAATGAATGTACTGTATATATAAAATTTAATGTCGAAAGAAAATGTTTTTCTTAAGTCATTAACATTAATTAGGACATAGTGCAACTTTGTTGTATTGGTGATGAAAATGCCAACCTGCTATTCAAACTTTACAGTAAATTCATGCAGCATGAGTATTTAGTTTCAAATAAAGAGATTCATATGAACAAACTCATAAATTTAAACATTTGATAAAAAATATGATTTAAGTGACAAAGTTGGCTGTTTCAGTATAGTTTATTATAAATTTTCATAAATTTTTTTGAGAAATTGGTTGCTGGCATACAAAATATGACATATGACTAATACTTAGTTTAATAATAATCTGTAGTTACTTGTATCAATTTATTAAATTTTCCTTTTTTGCTAGAATGGTTTGGTGTCCTTTTTATTCGTAATGGTCTCTACCAGGGTGGTGTATTCAGGTTCACGTTATACGTTCCTGATAAATACCCGGATAGTGATCCGCCGGTAAGTTTTTATTAATAATTTTATCAATAAATATATAACTATAGAAGAATGATTAAATCCTTTATTTATTTTATTTTTTAATTGTTCAAATTATTAAAATTAATTAATAGATAATTAGTTGATAGCAGAAAATAATTTTTGAACAAATTAAATTATGAATCTAATCAATCAGTTGAATTTTGTAACAAAAGGATCTCTTGGTTTATGAATGGCCAAATACAGTAGACCCCCCTATATCACGTATTCCTATAGTTCGGATTCCTATATCACGGTGAAAAAATTACGATAGTATTCGTACAAACATGCTAAAAAAACTCCTATAATTTGGTAAAACGTCATCGCCAACTTGTGTCGTGACAGGATGGTCGAATCTAGACCAACAGAGGATATTGCACAAACCACTGAGTTTAAACGAGCAGCAGACATACTAAAGACCATTTATTATTTAACGTCCGTAAAAATTATATTTATATTAATGATGTCTCCAAAGTTCAGTGAATTTTTCGCAAAAAAAAAAATAATTTATTTATCAGGAAGCATGCGAGCCCCATTCAATGACAAGCTCCACGGCGAAAACGAGCTTAACCTATTTGATGCTGAAATTTGTATTTGTTGCCTGTGACGTCATGTTGAATTTTCGTCGATGTTAAGCCTAAAATTTTTTTTTCTTTTAAATAATAATTGTGTTAACTGTATCGTAAAAAATTATTTTTTTTACGTTTCACAAACAAAATATATATCAGGGGTAGCCAACATGCGGCTCTTTGAAGGATTATTTGTGGCTCTCAATAAATGCACCCGCGTTCCCTTTTCATTTTTGTGTTATTATATTTTTAAAAATTATTATCGTTCCGTATGTGTTTCAAAATATCTTTTTAAATTACTAACAACAAATATGAAAGGCTAAGTGCAACATTGTAACAAATTTCATTTCCGTCCAAGTTAATAAGAATGATATGACTCATCGAAAACTGTGCAAACGAACATAAACAGTGGTGTAATCGTCCGTTATCGACCGATTCCAGACCGATTTTGAATTTGTAAACTGTCATTGCAACGGACAGTTGACATTGTGCTCTGGAGGAAACAATTTATATCACTCTTGCTACGGATATAATTTTGTAATCTGGAATTTTTTGCATACCTTTTTAATATGTATTTAATTGCGGCTTGCAAAAAATTTCAAATTTTGAAAAATGGCTCGGACTATCAAGGAGCTTGGCCACCCTGGATATATATATTAAATAATATAAAAACAAAAAAAATTTTATTTTAAAAGTTCGTTTTAATATAAAAATTGTGACGCGAAGCAACATTTAGTATCAAAACCATTCCAATGTAAACACGGAAATATTCGGGATTGCCCATGCAAGTCAATGAGGTCAACCCAAAAATTTTCAGGATTAACGTATGACAGGTTGAACAATGGCACCGTCGAACGGTGCACACTCAATAAGTAATCCTACAATTTTTTGTTTATAGCATAATTTATATGGATTATTCCCAAAAAATTATACATATTTTGGAAAATGTTGAGTCAAATTAGTCTAGAATTGATTAATTTTATGGAAGAAACCTTTCAAACAGCCATAGTCCGTAAACTGCATATGTGCCTGGCTGTGATTGGCTGGACTCGTAGAAAATAGATTCATAAAAACCGGAACGTATCTACTGTGTTATAGGAGGGGAGTCGATTGTATATCCAAACATTTGTACTTTTTCATAGATTTCTACTTCAAATGGTTGGTGGCATGGAATTTTTTGGGTTTTCTTCACATCCTAACACCTAAATAGGGGCCAGTTTTCTGTAGAAAGTTCTCTGAAGGATTCTTTATTTAAAATTTAGAGAGAAATCTGTACATAATTGTCCATAAATTATGTAATGCAGATTGATTGGGTATGTAGATAATTGTTACAGTGTATTACAAAGGTTGGGGTGTTTATATCAACATTATGTAATGCTATGGTAACAGGTAACCCTTGGTAACAGAATGATCTGTTTTATTGCAATCATAATATTTATTGTCACTGCTTTGTACATTATTCATGTAATTAATAATGTAATGTTTGGTACTCCTTTGCTGTTTATCATTCCTTACTACAATTAAGGGAGTTGATTGAGGATATATATTATGTAAATTTTGGGGGTGGATATGTGTGAAAATATTATGAGAGTGGAGTGGTAATTGAAAAGTATAAGAACAGTGTTATGTGATTTAGTGACAATTCCTGTTCAATCAAACTTTGAAAGATAATGCATGATACATCATGGTTTGACTGTGTGTGTATAGCCCACATGTAAATTATGACAAAATATGACATTGAGATTTTAGCACAGTTGCCATGTGACAATTATATTGTTGCTTGCTGCCAGTCGAGAACCAGTTTGTTCTGCCTCTATTTTTGCAAATATAATTTTAAATATTTTTAATTAAAAATTTTGAAATTGAATTAAGATTGTAATTTAGTGTCTCCAATTACAGTTGCTGGTGTTTGAGCCGCCAATCTTCCATCCGATAATCGACTACACAACGGGAGAAATGGACATCAAGAGCGCCTTCCCCACATGGAAGTACGCAGATTATTTATTTATTTCCTTAGTTTGTGTGTGTAAATGTGTTATTATAATTGTTGCAAATTTTGTAGATAAATTCATGTCATCATTTTTTATTTAAATCAAATAACAGCGGATCTCTTTGTAATAATCCGTAAGTATTATTTTATTCATAAGAAATATATTGAAAGACATCCTGTTAAAACACCTTTCGCTTCGATTATACAAAAGCACCAATTTTATTTTTTTGTATTACTTAAGATATTGTTTTCATTTGTATTCCGATTTTGGTCGGCCATTTTCTCTTGCAGTTTTTTTAATTAAATGATTGCAATGCAATATGTATTTCTTTTTTTAGATGTTTATGGATATTTAAATATATTTTTCTTTTATATTTCAGAAAGAACGTGAACCATCTTTGGCAAGTGTTGCAGTACGCGAGGAGTTCCTTCTACAAAATCGAAACACATTCACCATTAAATCAAGAAGCTGCTTCATTGTAAGATTTTACTGAAAGTTACTTACTTTATCAAATATTAAGATTTTATAGTGTTAAATTACTTTTTTTGGAGGTGAGATTTTTCGAAACTGTAAACAGTGCCTGCTCTAGGTGTGATCAAACAGTGTGACCACTTGGGGCACCGAGAAAAAATGGCCACTATTTATACATTGATTAGCAAGCTAGGGGGTGTGCCAAAACATTTTGTACAGAATGCAGATAAGGCTAGAATCAGTATTGGTTATAAAATACTTATTGATGATTGGATGGATGAGGGGTGATGGTGGAAACCTACTATATCCTTGTCACCTGTCACACTACCGTGTTTCCCCGAAAATAAGACATCCGCAGAAAATAAGACCTAGCACAGATTTTGCTGAATTGCGAAATATAAGACCTCCCCCTGAAAGTAAGACCTAGCAAAGTTTTTTTTTTAGTCGTAACAGTCATCGACAGATGGTTGAAAGTGGCCGTTGGCTTTTTGAAAGTACAGCCACTGATTGGTCAGCAGACAATTACGCCACATGGCATGATTTGCATAAGACTATGGCTTGGGAATCACAGATTTGCATAACGTTACGGCTGGTGATGGCTAATTGGTCGGCTGGGAATCACGCCACATCACATTTGCATAGTGCTACGGTTCAGTAAGCACTAATTGGTCATCGAGTCCGATGTTGACGCTATAAAAAGGCGACAGCTCGACACACCGGATATCTGTCACTCTCGTCTAAGTTCAACTTGGGAATTTTTTTGTTCAATAATAAATGTGAATTCTTCTTCCTGGAAAAAATAAGACATCCCCTGAAAATAAGACCTAGCGCATTTTTCAGAGCAAAAATTAATATAAGACACTGTCTTATTTTCGGGGAAACACGGTATTACGGACTTGACCAAATCCATAATAGGCTTGATAAAGGCTCTTAATTGATGTTATTAAAATTGTTTTGAGTTTATTGAAAAGATTTAAACAGTAAAATTATTTTTAAAACGATAAATATACAATTACTCATATATCTTGTACAATTAAAAAAACTAAGAATCAAGTAATGAAGCATTGCCAGATTCTAATTATTGATATTCTTAAGGAAATAATGAATTTATCTATTGCTAGATCAATTTCAAAAGCATTCCTGATATTTATTATATTAAATCAGATTTCTTCCAGGTTAACTGAGAGAAGTCTGGTAATATTGTAGAATGATGATGATCCAAATCTCTAATTAATTGAATTACAGCATGCAAGGAATATGAGCTTCCTCTTGTGGCATATGCTTCTGTTAACAGAGTCAGTCCCTGCAGTTGTTGTTCTTGATTGTTTCATACTGTCCTTTGCAAATCATTATTATTATTATCTGTTGGTGTTTAATGTTGTTTTTATTTGGTTAGTCTTTATGGACATTGTAAATGTTTAGAATGTCAAATATTTTTTATTAATTCAGTTATATATCTAGCAATCAGCTTTCTGATTATTTTTATTTTGACTAATATTCTTTAATTTTATATTAGATATGAAAAGGATATCGAACTGTACAAATTAAAGGTATCAGAAAGCATCAATCTGTGTAATGAGAAGCTCTATGATCGTCCAAACACGGATGATCCTCACGCCATACATTTCAGTCCGTGGGAATCGGCTGTACATGAGAATCTCAGAAAAAAGCTGACAGGAAAAAAGGTACATGTCTCTGTTAGAAATGAAAATATTTTGTAATATCAGTTACAAAATATTTTATAAGTAAATTAAAAGTTTTATTTATTTACATATACAACCAAGTAGCAAGACATGATTTATAGCTTTTGTATATTTTATTATTAAATTTCAACCAATAAACAATGTTTTAAGCAAGCTAATTTAAATTAAATTGTAATCAATGAATGATAAACTATATATATAATATATAACTCGATTATAACTTCATCCATGGGACTGGCAATTTTTGATGTTATAACCGAGTGTCGTTATCTACAGGGTCATAATTTCAGTCTCATAAAAAGTACCAAGTGTATTTAAGGCAGGGGTCACCAAAGTGGTAGGTATGGACCCCCAGGGGTCGATGCAGCATGATTGGGGGGGTCGATGCGGCCAAGGGATCACAACTTTTTTTTTTTTTTATTTTTTTTTTGCTTAGACAGAGACCACAACCCACATTTTTTTTTCGCTTATACATATACACTTCTAATAAAACTTTACGATGGGGGTCAATGTGAGGCTTTGGAAAGTGATTGGGGGTCGATGGTTAAAAAAGTTTGGCGACCCCTGGTTTAAGGATATATTATAAAATCCATTCTAATTTAACATTGTATATATTATCATAAAATTACTGTATCTATTATGGTAATAATAATTTATTATTGTATGTATAAAAGTGCAAACTAAGTGTTTAAATCTACTTTATTTATATTATTATGTCTAAGTTTACAATGATGTAATTAAAAATTTTAAAAGTTACCTTTTATAAGAAATTTTTATTTGTCTCAAGTTTTGATAATGGCGGCTCTTCTGGTTTTGAGAATAATATTGAATCAAAAAGCTACAAAAGGTTAAATTAATGTATGCCAATTAAAAAGGCCAATAACAATATTCATTGAAAAAGTCAGTTATTTCAGATTGTAGGTGTTTTTCACCTAAAAATTGTTTATCAATGTCATTTTCTAAATCATAGACTTTGTTCATTATTTCCAATGAAGTTTTCCGAGACCTGTAAAACATTTTCAATAATATTATTGCATTACATGCTTCCCAGGTTGATGGCACTGCATTTTCTCTGTCTGATGTTTCATCATCATCCACATTTTTTTCATCTGAAGATTTAAATTTGCTCAACAATATCTGCATCTGTATAAAATTCGGATGTTATTAAATCTTCATCTACACTCTCATATTCAGTAGTAGCAGATGACAAAAATTTGCTGTTTTCTGAACTTTGAAGTGTTTTAATTAATTCTGATAGAGGAATGTTGTCGTCCTCATTACTGTCATCATAAATGTAATAGCTATTTGACTATTACACAATTCTGCATAGTGAAAACAGTTCTCTATTATTAGCAAATTAACCTTACATCAAGATTTTTCCAAAAAATCAACTGCATCTAAAGAAATTGCCATTTTATTGTTATCTTCCATATTTGTAATAATTTTTTGTAAAAGAATTTTTCTGAAATGAGATTTAAGGCTTCTTATAATTCCTTTATCCATTGGCTGAAGTACACTAGTATAATTTCGAGGAAGAAATACAAGTTTAATGCTCTTTAAATTTTCTAAAATTGGATATGCTGGGCAATTAATGACAAGGAGTAAAACTTTTTTCATTTACCAATAAGTTCTCTATCCCATTTTCGAATTTCTTCGTCAAAAATCTCAGATGTCATCCATGACTTTTTGTAGGCTTTGTAATTTACTGGTACTGTTTTTATGTTTTTAAAACATCTTGGATTCTTTGATTTTCCTATTACAAGAAGTTTTCTTTTGTCTGTACCAGTCATATTAGCAGAAACAAAAGCTGTTATCTTTTGCAAGTTTTCCACCAACACATTTATTGTTTTTAAATTTAAATGTTTTATTTGGTTAAAGTTTGTAAAATATCCCAGTTTCATCTGCATTATAAATGTCTTCATCTGCATATTCCGCCCCTCAATTTAGGCCACACATCTCTTAACCAGTTTTCAATGTCCAGTAAATTTACACTTTTTGTTTCTCCACATACTTTCCCAAAACTTATGTCATGTCTTTGTTTAATTAAAACTGTCTAGCCATCCATTAGAATATTTAAAGTTACTATCGCCTAGTAGTCATCCAAATTCTTCTTCTTTTTCCATTAGTATCTGTCCATTTAGTGGTAAGTTGGAACTTCTGGTTAAACCACTTAATTAGAGCAGCATCAATATTGGCTTTTTCACATAATTTTTTCCCTTGCCCCTTGCTATCTTGAACACTTTTCAAAATTTCCTCACTGTTTTTTATTATTGTGCACACTGTAGAATTTGCTAAACCAAAGTCTCTGCATACATCTACCTTTTTTCTTCCACTTCCAACAGCTTTAATTATTTCTACTTTGCAGTCTAACGTAATGCTTTCCTTTTTAAGCTAGCCATTTCACCTGATTTGTTGCTAAACTATTGTACAACATGAGAGTAAAGTTAAAATTTATAACAACTTCACAATTGATGAAGTTGGTATGCCAATAACAAATTAGAACTCAGTCAGCGAGATGGATTTCAACTTGAATTTCCCACTTCCACGTTGACCTTATATAGTCGTCGACAGCCGTTGGCCGACCAATCAGCAGCTATGCTAGTCATAGCTCTATTCCAGGTCCACCACATGGTGTGATGTTTTGCCAACTGTCTCTTCCTTGAGACGCATGCACCACCAATTCAAATTTAGCCAATCGTGGTCTTCTACAATCTTTCCTTGGCAGCATCCGTTACCGGTTCAAATTGGTCAACCATGTCATTACACAATATCACCATGACAACAAGTAACTATGTGAACTAATCCGATTGTCACGTTGTTTAAAGATGTGATGAACCTCACCCCACCAAAGTCAGGTAGTGAGAGCATCACCCACAGTCATTCTAGGAAGTTGACTCTGATCCTAGAAACTGAACACATAGTACATGTAATGTATTTTCTTTGTTAAATAAAATTTATAATCTAATTTTGTAAATCTGGGAGTGCTGTAAATATGACATTAAAACAGGGTTTTGTCATTACAAGTGGGTTTTTTAACATTATCTAGTATAGTAAAATTATGGGACCGATAAAAAATTTGACATTATATTAGGGTTGTTGTTATATCCAATGACGTTATAATCAGGTTAAACTACATTATTTTGACATTTACTGTTGGGTAAAACAAATTACCAATTTTTTTCAAATGAATCCTCTTATTGGTCCATCTTTGGCTTTAACAGTCACAGTAACTCTTCTAGGCATGCCTTCCATTAGAAGTCAGTCAATTCAGGAATATTCATCCATTTTGCTAGTAAAACTCTGTCGGAGCTGCTTTATAGGAAGCTATTATTAGCCAAGATTGATGCACCATTCCAGCTCATCTCAATTAGGTTTAGGTCCAAATCTATTGGATGGACATCAAAATATATCCAGATCTATTTTGATGTCCATCCCACCTTTGGGATGGCCATCAAAATGCATTGGATTTTATGAGGCAAAAATCTGTCAGAGCTGCCTGCCTTAGTGGAATAATCTCTGTAGCATCTTTTGCATAGCCTTTCTTAGAAAAGTGTAGTAGTATTCCAGAACAGACCTAATCAACATTTAATGAAGCATACATAAAGGATTGCTGCAGTCATTAAGGCCATAGGTGGGCCAATGAATTATTGAAATTTTCAAATAAATGCTTTGTTTCATGTAGAAATGTCCAAACACTTTAGTTAATAGATACAGTTTTAATTTAGGTCTCATCATAATTGATCCTTAATAGGATTAAAATTAATTGTTAAACATTCATAACTTATAATTTTTAAAGATATATAATAATTTAATATTTTTTTATTATTGTTTTTTCAGAAAGAAGAAGAACAAGAAAGCAAAAACGTGCAGAGCGGTGGACTTTCTTGGGTTCAAAATGGGACACTTAAAATATTTTCAAAGTCTGTATCGTGAAACATTTAAGAGAGAATTACTAACAAAGGCCAACAATGATATTATTTTTGTCAAATTAACAACCAAAGTTCTCTCATTTTATCAGAGGATACCATAGCAGATTAAATTAATCTGCTTATGGATTGTGTGTCCAAATATAGATTCAAACTTTGATTTGTTGTCAAATGCAAAAAGTCCACATATTGTCAGCTCAAATGATGGGAAAAGAGTATTCAGAATCATCATTCAGTACAGAATTTCAGGATTTCCTATCATTGACTCGCAAGTATTTTATCAAACTTTGTTTTGTGGTTTCAGAAATTTCATTTTAAATTGTTCCAATTTTCATCTGCCACTAACAAATTATCAGGAGATCAGATTTTCTAATTCTTGTGTACAAATTCATTGAATCCCTTAAAATGTTTTATCATCTACATTAATAATTTCAAAAATAATATATGAATCATTAATTGAAATTTTATTTATCTATTATGTAAATATTGCAAAATACACTTAAAAACAGTTAATGCCGATGACAGTTCTGAGAAGTTATAATGCAAAATATTAAATATATTGTAATATATTGTGTGTTTAAACTAATATATTAATATAATATGGTTAAATTTCATTTGAATTTTGCATATTTTTTCTGCTAATATGTTTTGTGTACCAAAGATAAAAACGATTTGATTTAATTTTGCTAATTTGCAAAATTTTGTAATAAACTTAGTTATATTTTTGTAAATTACAAAAAAGTTTGTAAAATGTAACAAAATTAGATTTTTTTAAAGGCATTCTTCTATTAATTTTGCACTTAGAGAATTAATTTTTATCACTGCATATTATAAGGATATGCAAATAAAGAATTTTATGTTTTTGCTCATAAAATTCCACATGTTTCTGTTGCAAATACTGTAACTTGTTTAATGCAAATGTGTTATATGTATTTACATATACATTTGAAGTAAACTGTATGCAGTTAATGCTTATGCTGCATGATAAGAAATATCAATATTGGAGTGATTTTTGTTGATTTAATTACATTTATCCCCCCTGTAAACAATGTTTCCGTGGTTACAAATGTTCACTTAACTAAAAATTCACCTATTTTGATGGAAATTTTAAATAGTGTTTCTGTACATTTTAAAGCAAATTAAAAAAAAAATGTATTTTAAAGCTAATGTTTGTAAGGTTATATGTACTCATAATTGAGATGTGTCCACTGACAAGTACAAACCATTTTACATTTGCCAATATTGAAATTTTTAAATTCAAGTTGTTATCCATCTATGGTAACATTTCATTGAAGTATGAAGTGATTTCAACTTGCCCATTTGTGAAAATATATTCTGATTGTATATAGTATAGGATTACCAATGAATTTAGCTTTTGGCACAGGTTATTATGTAGTGTACACATTTTTATGCCACATTGCCTTCAGAGTAAGTCATTTCCTGCAGTAACATACTTCTATTGGCATCTGTGCCACTTTGCAAAACAGTTCTGTAAGTGGGACCATCAAGGGGAGACATATTATGTTATAGTTGACGTTACATATTCAATTGAAGATTGCATTAAGATGTTTTTATATTTTTAGATGTTTAAATAATCCTCTGCAGACATCCATTCCATTCTTGATGCTCAGTAAACTGGAGAAATAGGAATACATTGATTGAAGAATCTGTAAGAGTAATTATAATTAGTATTTACATTTAACTATAAACTTAATGTTTTCCTGTTTTACCGAACACAATGCATATGCAAAATACAGATAGATTGCTGCATTTTTATTTTACCTGCATTCTACAGACATGAAAGAAATGGCATTATCCCCTTTATGAAACCAGACTTTTTACTGGAATTTATTGGAGCATATCCCACTTCAACACCAACAGTAAAAATGATCAACTTTATGCTATGTAACAGCCACCTCTTTTGCACTGTCTGGCAATTTTTCAAATTTGATGGCGGCCATGATGGTTAATTCTTCAGAAATCAACTTATCACTAGAGAAGGGCAAAAGGACAATGATTTCAACTATACTTGGACCCAACTTAGCCTAGCACAATGGAATCTGTGAATGCCTTCTTATTGGTGGCCATGTTACTGTTATATCAATATTTTAATTCTTGAAGTTAGACTACAAAAATATATTAATATTTCGAGTCTATCCTACAATAAAAGGCTGGCGTTTGATCATTTTTAAACATAAATTTTTACCTTTCATTATTTGTCTTTTAAAGAAGTTTTATCTTCTAACCAATGTAACTGTGTCTTCTGTGGTTTGTGAAAAAGGATTTAATGATAGACTCGAAAATATTAATATATTTTTGTAAATAGTCTAACTTCAAGAATTAAAATATTGAAGAATATCCTGAGTTAACATTGAACATTGTGAACTGTTATATCACTTCACTGGTTTCCATGGAGATTTAGTGTTAAAGGCATTTTCAACCATGTGCATGGTGTTCTATAGTTTGTAAAAAACAGAATACCATGCACATGAAGAAGCCATCATGTTGACTCTAAATCTCCATGGAAACTAGTGGAGTGATATAATAACAACAAGGCCACCAAATGAAAAAGTGCACGTAGACTGTGTTGTGGTAGATTAAGTTGAAACCTAGTATATTCCTCGATTAATAAGAGGAATAAAAAATACCTTGGGTATGCTTTTCCTGGATACAACAAATAGTCCAGCAGCACTCATTCCTAAGTTGAGTTTAGCCAATCTCTTTTGACAGGAAATAATCTAAAAAATAGATACTGATAAGATATTTACAAAATTAAGTGAAAATAAGAGAGACTAAATTGTTTCATACTTGAAACACAAACATATTCGCCTTTAATTTGTTCTTTAGATTTTCCTGGTAAAAAAAAAGAACTTCCAAAATAGGGCCGAATTGACTAAGCTAAAAGATATTTCATTTACATTAACCAATTATTTAGTTTTTAAAATTAATCTTAAATTCTGAAAATTCAATATCATGATATGCAGTAAAGGCAGATTAACCGAGACTCATTTAATCGAGGTTCAGCCTTATCTAAAATGGATTGTAGATTACTTTATGTACACTCTTGCTAATCCGGCATATCCCAAAGTGTGATCTATGCACTAACGTTTCCATTAAAATGTTAGTCACGTCAAACATACTGTTTTCGTGTTTTACTCTGATTTCATTTCTGGGTACAGAATAATGCAGCTGCACCCCTTCTGATGGTTTTCCCCGAGTAGAACCGGATACTTCAAGTATTAAACAAAGACCAAATATTGTGGTACAGTACAGTTCCGTTTCGGAATCTTGACAGGGAGATGCTCTCTACTCGAAAGAGCTCTAGAAGTCTTAAAAAGAACTTATTCGGGTGAATTGCTTTCATGCAAGGCCTAAGAGGGCCTATCACACCCATCATGAGTTAGGCCGGATGGCTGAGCAGAGCGGTTCCTCATCACCTGGCTGTCCTATTGTGGGCCTGGCCAAATCCATAATGGGCTTGCTAAAAGAGACCTTCTAAGCACCCACAGGGCGGAAAGAGTTAAAAAAAAATCATCATGAGTTCACCCAAGCACCCAATGGAGGACATCCGTGCGATCAGGGACTAGGCCCAACATATCTGGAACAGGTTACGCCTCAAAAATCGCTAGGATATTTTTTGATTGCACAGATTCGATTCTGGGTCACTAGAGCAGTAGGTTTCTTCCATTTTATAACACTATTGTCGTATTTGATCGCGTAGCGTACTTTGCTCCCATCCGTGTTATCTGAGGTTTTGATTATAAGAGGTACTGTCGATCCACATTATTTTAGTTAATCTCGATTGTACTGTGTGTCAGTAGCGTGCCGTTCTTGGAAGCGGTGGAAGCGCCGGTTCCCTTGTATTTTCTAAAATATAAATACATATTGTGCGATTATTTTCATAATTTAACGTACTTTGAATTACAGTAATTAAAATTAATATTTTATTACAACCGCATTATGTATCTTATTACAAATTTCTATACTACATGTGAAAAGAACGATAAGATTGCTATTGTATATTCGAAAATCAGTGGCGGAATGGAAGCGCTGTATTATCGAATACGTGTCAGCTTCCAAGCAGCCATATTATACGCATTCGCGCATGCGTTTTACAGAGCACCAACCTCTTCCGGTTTAGCTGTAGGAAGGTACACACCGAAATATCATATAACGCTTCCAATGATTCTATGCAAGACCGGTTCTGGGCTGTTAGCCGCCTGCGTGCTAGATATTTGGCCGCCCTCGCCCATTATGTGAATCGCAAGTAGATTTATAACTTAACCCAACCGATAGAAGTTACTGGTATGTTTTTTACGATAGTTCTGTATAGTTGACAGCAGTTATCAAATATTTTAACGGAATTTTTTTTATTTTTATTCGCTCTCCGATTTCAGATTTTATATTACGGATTTCAATGTTAAACCAGTAATATTACGATTTTGTATGTCCCATCTTTAAGGGGATGTAGAAAAACACGTGTACAATTCTTGTATAATGTTAAAAAATTAACTGTTACTTTGATAGCATAATTTACAACTAAATTTAATGAATGAGAGAGATGCACGAGGTACAGAAAAAGCTCTAGAATTTATTTTCCTTAAATTTACGATTTATGTATCCGTTCGTCATAAAAATTTGTCTTTCCACTTTTTTTCCAAGACTACAAATATTCGAGTACAAAGTAACTGGTTTCGACTTATTTCTACTTAAGAAGTAGTAAAATAATTAAGCGATTGGGGAAGTGGGGACAAACAAAACCCTGCTGAAAGAGCCGGAATTTTACTTAAACAAAAGCCTAACCGACCCAATCTCTAGCCGAGTACAGTGGGGACTGATTTCTTCGTATTATTGATGTAATAAAGACAGACATTTTTCCAGTTCAACGAGAGTGACCGAAAAGTTGTAAATTTTGGAAATTTTCGTGGACAACACCTGGTCCTAAAACGAATTAGTTAGAAAACAAATGACTATTAAGTTTAACATATTTAGATTTTTACAGCTATGATGAGAAACGTTTAAAATCTACAACAGCCCTGTCGCGTCCTTTGAGATATATTAGTGATGCGACAAAAGAGGCATTTGACATTGACCAGTATTGGCACCCTCAGGATTTGGCAGCCTGCGTGCATGCACCGCACACTTAGCAGGACCGTCTCTGATTCCACTCGTAAGGAGCTATTTTACTAAGTGGTTAAGATTTAAAGAGTAAACAATATTTTATTTTTATGTGCGTTTCTTTACAAAGCTATATTTAATTATAATTTTCTTTAAAAGTATATTAATACAATTTGAAGAATATTTTTGAATCAGGTATGGATATCCACCACACATTTCATTTACCAACTAAGTTTTTATAATTTTATGTTTAATTTTAGCCCTTATATCGTGCAGTGGCGAAGCGTAGTGGGGCGGCAGGGGCGGTCCGCCCCGGGCGGCACTTTTTAGGGGGCGGCAAAATTTCACAATAAATAATAATATCTTGTAAAAGTTTGAACCATTTTATCCCATATTTACGGTTCGGACCGATTGAAATAAGCACGGAATAGTCTGGGAATTGACTCGCCGTGCGGGTAAAATATTAATTTCACTCGGGGATGCAGTGCGCGACCTGTCGACCTTTTTTTTCTTAGCTTGTACGATTCATTTGTATTCATATACACCCCCAATATCCAATGGAGCTATTTTAAACAGGTGGCTACACTAGCAAGTAAATTTTCATTACTTGTTCTGATACGAAACTGAAATTTAGTCTTAAATTGAGATACCTAAATAATGGGACGGCGAAATTTTCCTTCGCCCCGGGCGGCTGACACCCACGCTACTTCGCTGAAATCGTGGCTAACGATTCTAAATGTAATTGTGATATTGAAAATTTATTTTAAAAAGTTTTGGCTCAAGACCATATAATGAAAAAGAAAACATTATTAAAAGAGAAAGACCAATGCCTAAATTAAATATAAATACTTCAATAAAAAAAATTTGTTCGACGTTTTCACGATAAAATTTATGAAGACATAAAATGGCTTTTTGAATGCATAGAAACGCAGATTGTTTTGTTGGCCTTGCCTACTATTTTCAAATAAGATTAGTGTGTGGAATAAGAATGGCTTTGACGATTTAAATAATTTGGGTAAAGCTGGCAAAAGACACGAAAATCGTAAACTTCACATCGATTCTTTCGTAAAATTGAAGCAATTGGAAATCAAAGCAGGATAGAATTTAACATTAGTAAATAATAATAATAATACAGTAATATAAATATTGAAAATTATAACAAGATAGTTACGGCTAATAGATATAGACTATTATACTTAAATTAATAGATGTTATATGTTTTTCCTCAAAGAGAGAATTGGCATTTAGAGGGAATATGGAATCTGTTGAATCTAATAATAGAGGTAATTATATTGAACTTGCTTATTTATTAAGTACATCAGATAATCTATTAAAAATAGTCTACATTTAGTGTACGGTAGTTACTGGCTTGTTGAACAAACGAATACGAATGGACCCTGACGCGCAATTAACTGATTGCTCCTGTAAGTCGGCTTCTTATAGAAAAACAGCTTCCCTATCATCAAAATGTCACGGCACGCCACTGCTGTATGTAAATAATAAATTTTTCATGTACCTTACTCAGTGGCGTACCGTGGGTGTCAGCCGCCAGGGGCGGAAGAAAATTTCACCCCACCTTATTTAGGTATTTCAATTTAAAAGACCAAAATTCAGTTTTGTCACAGAACAAGCAATGAAAAATTCTGTGGTAGTACAACGACCTGTTATCTATTGGATATTAGTGGTGTATATGAACGCGAATGAATCGTACAAGAAAAAAAAAGTCAACAGATTTCGCAGGATTTCCTTGGATAAAAAAATTACTAGTAAACAATGTTGCCACGTCTACCGAATTTTCGGTAGATCTACCGATTTTGGGACCGATATACCGATTGAAGTACCAAATCTACCGAAAAGTTTACGATAATTCAAGAAATTTTTATTTTCAATGTATCTAAAAATTCTCAATAAAACATTTCGGTAAGATTTACCCTCCGAATGAGGGGGTAGCCACCCCCCACTACGGTACGCCACTGTACCGAATTCGAAATTCGTCTTCGGAATAGATTTTTAAGGAATTATTTCGACATCTTATTACTGCCGAAATGAATAATTTTAAATATTTTATTACGAATATTACATGTTTTTAATATCTATAAATAGATTTCTGTAATTATTAAAATTGTCTCGTTTGTTTAAATAACAGTACAATGACTCCGAAATGCATTAATGTTTTATAACCGACACGATACTAGAATTGTAAATAAATGCATCTGATTTAAATTAGTTGAAGTTTTAAGTCTTCACCCATTTGAGTATCGAAATTGGAACATTTAAGTATTTAATTTTGTTGTTTTTGCTCCAAGCAATTAATTAATGAATAATTTTGTCGATTCGTACCGTTTACAACATTTATCAAAGGAAGGATATCTGTTTTTAATTTTAACAGTTTTGTATTTTATTATTCTTTCTTAAAATATCAACTACTTCTTGGGTCAGCCTATGCTTTTCCTCTTTCCAAGTGAAATGTGTTGGCATCTGATCCGAACCAGCTTCAAAACTAAAGTATTTGCTCAATTCTATGGCAAGAGAAGATTTTACGAGTCCTACTCCACCGACCCTTTCGTCAGCAGGATGGTAGACTCTTCCACTCTCTGGAAACATGCAGAGTTTGTTTGGTTCGAATAGCCTTATTAACAAATCGGCAGCGTGTCCATACGATAAAAAATACTGCCCATCGTCATTTGATTTTTCAATAATATGTGTATACACGATAGGTGTATCATCACAACGAATGTAATTACGTTCCCGTCCACAGGGAGAAACGTATGGAAATTCCTTTTCATATCTTCCTGTATCATTGATGCGAATTCTCTTGAAGAAAAACTCTAGAAATTTTTTTTCTGAAAATGAAAACAAATAAAATTTGATTAGTAATTCAATAATTTATAGCTTTCTTCATAAAAAATTAAATATCATATTTTAAATATTTAAACATTTTTTTCACATAAATTAATCATAATTGTTTCTTTGCTTTATGCCATTTTTGCTTGTGAAAGGTTTCATAGGAATGCTCTACTTTCCAAAGTGGGAGAAACCTATATACATAAGTTGTGCTTTATATTTACTAGTAAAGATTATCAGGAACAATTTAGTTTCAAAAACATATTTTATGAATTTTATCAAATAAATGTATCTGTTTTTAGAATGTTCCAATGTCAATCCAATTCAAAGAACTTTCCTTAGAAAACAGGAAAATCCAAGCATTCATCAGGAGTCAACAAGACTTTTGGTAATAAATGTAGAACTTTGCTTATAGAAAGTGCTTAGATTTTCAAAGTTCTTTCTCTCAGAAAAATACTGGTAGTTTAAATTGGATACACAGTTACTTCTGTTTTAAAAGTTCTGTGTTTAGTTAAGGCAGTGTTTCTCAACAGGGGTGATATCGCCCCCATGTGAGCATTTTTCCACATTGAGGGAGTGATTTGTAACAATTTATATTTTGGGGGAGTGAAAATTTTCTGGGGCGATATAGTAAAACATTGTATTAAGAATAATTAGATATTTTATTCATTATATCGTACAATAATTTAAACAAACAACATTATACTAGTCATTAGTCTATTCAATGCAGTATGAATTTGGCATAAGCCTTGGCCCTTAGCATCAGCATTTTGAAGTGAAGGGGGCGACAATTAGTTTGAGGTTGAGAAACACTGAGTTAAGGCAATGCAACACTTGGGTGATCTGCCTAGGGGAATACCTTCTGAGAGGTCTTTTTAAAGGCAACTGGCCCCTAATCAGGCATTACAGATGTGGAGAAAACCCGGAAAACTCCACATGGACAGCCTGTCCTGGTGAGGCACAAACCCACAACCAAACTTCCAGTTTCAGGGAACAGAACCGCTTTGCCACTGGTGGGTCTTGTTTTAAAAGAAGAGTCTGACTATTCAGAAGCATTTTTATCATTTATCACATTACAAGAATGATGTGTAACCTCAAAAAATGTTGCAACAACTTTTGCAAATGCAATTTTTAAATGCATTAATTTAGGGAAAATAATCTACATGTCAAGTTGAGTCTACATGTCAAGACTGTAGTCACAGTTCCTGCCAACTAACCATTTGGATTTGTTTGGAACAATGCAAGACAGATAAGAAATTCACATGTAAGAAATTCCTTTCAATATCATCTCAAAGAGCATTTTTTGAGATGATATTGGAAAGAATTTTAAAAAAAGGAACTTTTGTTTTGTATGATTTTATGTAAAATTTTATTTTAAAAAAAGATTTTATGTAAAATTATAAATAGATCTCTGTAAAGTTTGTCAAGTATAGTTTTGAAAGTTAATAGGAACTTTTGTATGTGAGAAATTATCATTTAAAACTTGATAAACTTTAATTATTTTACTCTGTAGTTGTATCAACACTAGTCGTCTGTAAGAAATTTTTGAAAAGAAACGAAGAGAACAAAAACAAACCTTTAAAACAGGAGGTAAAATTCTTCATTTTTGAATCATCTAAAAATAACTGCAAAAAAATAATTTGGTATTAAAATTAAATTCAGAATTTGCATCTAAATTAAGATTATGTAATTATAAGTTGAATATTGATTATTTTATATACACAAGATAACAAAAAACAAGTTTTATGATATAATAGTCACTAATCCAGCATTTGCCTGTACAAAATCTAAAACTTATTTACTACTACTGGTTAAATTACTGAATTTTTAAGAATTAAGAATTGAATTCATCTAAAAAAAAAAACAGTTTTTGAAGTTTATTTTAAAAACAATAAATGAAATAAAGAAATAACTGCTTCTTTAGGTAGCCAAATTAGTCCAAAAGAAATGCTTTAGGCACATCTTAAACCAGCCTCAGCTTAACTCTCCATTTAGGTTCGTCTGTAGGTAAAAAAGAAGTTACTTTTTTATTTTAAAAACTTTCATACAAATCATTCTTTGAAATTTTTTAATGCAACCATGCTTGTTTAACTTAGCATATTCACAAATTTTTCAAATCAAATCAATCTTTATTCGTAAAAAGGCAGCCGCCTGTTATGTAGGATGTAGATTAATATCAAATAATTATTTATTATCACAGAAGTAAAATCATCTAAACCAATTTAAACTAACTTATTCATCCAACCTCCAATTACAACTTATTGTCATGTATAATAAACCAAAACTGAGTAGTATATCTCTCTTTCACAAACAATTACTCTTTGCCTTAAGTAATCTAATATACTTTGTATTCTGTTGTAGTGCTTAATACTAGTACAGTATTTAGTACTTTTGTCAACTAAACATTGAAATTAGTTTCTAATTGAATACAATTAACATGTTTTAACATTTAAGATTTTTTCGCAAATAAGAATTCTTGAGCATAATTATATAACCTGTAGATTGTGCCCATGGGCGTAGCGAGGGGGGAGCCTGGGTGGGCACGGACCCTCCCAGGGAACCTGGTGCCCCCCAGAAAATCACAGCCGAAAAAGTGTTGAGTCGATTTGTAAACACCTAAAGCTAAAATAAAAGTTTTGAATACTAAAAAAAAGGTGAACGGCTTGCTCGGTGCCCAATAATGAACAATAATTTGAAATAATTCAATTTTGTGTCAGGTTGGCCTCCACTAGGCCCCCCATAACAAAACTCTGGCTACGCCCATGATTGTGCCTATCTTTGCCCTATCGAAAACTTCATATATAGCTCTTTCATTAGAGCATTTTGATAATAAGTGCAGATCAAATCATTTGTATCTCATTTGTATCTTTGCAATCACAGAATATATGAAACTTAGTAATTGTTTTATGACATCATGGGCAACTGCATTTTGAAAATTCAAAGAATTTATTGTTAATTAATATCCAATTTTTTTTAAATCTGAGCTGTATAAAAAATTTATTTACGTTAAAGACTAAATTTGTTAACATATATAGTTGTTATTGAGTGGATAGTCTAGAATTATATTATACCAATCAGGTTTAATCCTTTTATGTATATCTATATCCTGAGATAGGGAAATTTCTAATACACTTTGTATTAACTATTGGCTTAGCTCAGGGCTTCTTAAACTATGGGTTGTGACCCCATTTGGGGTCACTTAGCGAAATCCTGGGGTCATGAAATTTTAATGCAAAATATTGAAAATAATTTTTGAGAGTTTGAAAATGGCACGCTTTGTGTCATAGGTTTCGTGAGTTGCGCTTTGTGTCACTTCTGGTGCAGCAAGATAATGATTCAGCAACACTGATTGTAGTGTGAACTAGTGTAGTGTTGTCGCTTTTCAGTGTATTCAGTTGTCTCTGTTCATTGTAACACAAGAGTGAACTGTGGTAGTACACCATTATTGTTTTTGCAAATTTGTATATATCTTTATTTTATATTTTTTGGGTCGCAAAAAAAATCACAATCATAAATGGGGTCATGAATAAAAAAAGTTTAAGTAGCCCTGGCTTAGCTGATCACTTCTCTCCATAGGATCCATAAATAATTTTATAGAAAAACCATAGATATTTAATATTTTTGAAATTTGTGTTACCCAGTTTCTACTTTGTTCTCTGCCAAATTCACAAAGAGACTAAATCATATAAAATTTATATGTAAATATTTAAAAAGTAATTATTTTAAATGGTTTTGTTTTATAACATTTAGCTGTTATCAACATAATAAATAATTTGTGAAGATATGATTAAATATATAATGTAAACTCCTCTTAAGCAGTTGAATGGATACAGTAAATAAACTTGTGAAGAATTGGAAATTTACAAGCAATTATTTATTGTGACATGGTCACAATGCCAGGCCACAATTTTTAATCACATTTTTGTTTATTTAATTTAAAATATAGGCTCTCCACCTCAAATTAGTACTAGAGTGTCTTGCCTCTGTAAAGCATACTTTTCTGTTAGCAATGGAGTTGTGCCTTCACCAATTAACTGCTTTCAGGGGAAAAGTTTTGAATTGAAACAACATGATTTCCAGTTTGCATCAGAAGTTTTTATATAGTTAATTGGGGCCTCCTGCCCCTATGGTTTCCATATTGGATCTCATCATTCATCTATCTAACTCCGTTCTCAAAATTAAGGACAGACTGACAGATGGACGACAGTGGGAATTTATAGGTCTGCAATTTTTTCAAATTGCAGCCCAATAAATTTGTAGAGATTGTTTAAAGAAATAAAACGTTGTTCAGGCTGTGGCAAGTTATGTTTATATTACATTTCAAGTCAATCAGAGTTTCCACAAGAAATGGGACAAATGCACTTCCACATCCCATCTATTCATCCAACTTAGGTCCTTGTGATTTTTACCTCTTCCCATGATTTTACTGATGAAATAACATCTGCAGGGAATGTCACTGTTTTGAGTCATTAAATGAGGTAGAAGCAGCATTACAAACGGTTGAAAACAATGGTTTATACAGCAATGCTTCCAGAAGCTGTACAAGAGCTGGCAAAAGTGTATTGTTGTCCAAGGGGATTATTTTAAAGGTTAAGCATCCTTGTTTTAAACTACAGGCCAAGTCCCTGAATTTTTGGATCCTACCTTGTAAAAATATCAAACATCTTAAACTTAGATGTTTGAGTTACAAAAATGGATAATTATTTCATTTTTAATGAACTACAATATAAAAAAATTGGAAGAATTATGCTTGATTTAGAGTAAATCTTATACTAGAATATATGTTTTTAAATTTTATAATAAGTTACATAAAATATCAATATAATTTAATTGTATAGATCAATTACATCTATAGCAAATATATTGATTTACTAGCATAGAATGCTTTTTTTATTATGCAGGGTGACCTGTAAGTCTAGAACCATAGAAGTTATGTCACTCTTTGTTTGCTCTTTTACAAATAAAGCATGGCACTAAATAAGCAGAAATGAATTCAAGTTATTTTGATGGTATGGTTCCGCATTCAGTGAGTTGTCAAAGAGTTTAACAGGCTGCATCCAGACCATTATGTGTTATTGATGGGAAGTCTGGATGAAACCTATTAAACTCTTGGATAGATTCCTACTGACTGTGGGTCCCATCATCACAATAACTTGAATTTGTTCCTCTTTACTGAGTGTATTGGAAACAACATATAATGATATGTATTTTATTTATTTTTTAATTTAATTTAATTAATTAATTTATTTATTTATTTATTTATTCATTCCTGTACATACTAAGGAAGCTTGTATTCATGTCATTCATGAATTCACTCAGGTGCATGTTTCCAGTGGTGTGACTAGATTATGAGGGATTGAATTGAAGGTGTAAGACAATGCAACATGTAAACAATCTGCCAAGAGGGATGCATCCTGGAAAGACTTTTATGGGAAACTGGCCCCTATTTAGGTATTAGACATGTGAAGTAAACCCAAATATTTTTAATGTGGACAGCCCAATGGCAAGGTGAAAATTTGCAATCAGTGTACCAATGTTTGGTGATTTTATCCATTTGGTTACTGCTGGGTAGATGTTGAGGGAAAGGCTTAAAATATCCAGGTTGATTTGACCTGGATTCAAACCATAGTTCCTCAGAGCATCATATTAATACTTTTATTATTTTGGCCATTCAGCTGTTTAATATCATCTCAAATCAATTTTTAGTTATTAAAGAAACTGCTATCAGATACTTTCAAAAGTAAAAAAATCAACAAAAGTATCTTTTTAAATCTGAAAAAATTTTAATATCAAACATATAAAATTTCTATTTAGAACCAAGATAATCTCTAATTTCTATAAATAGCTGTTCTGCTTAATTGTCAGACAATATGAAGTAAACTAACACAATTAATAGCTAATGAATCCTGAATAATTTTGAGACTATAACACTGTAGATAATTCTGTGTTATATGAATTCCATGTTGTATGAGTCACTTAGATTTTACGTGTGCCGGGCTATGAACGACTCATGTATTTGTAAAATCTAAGTGACTCGTACAACATGGAATTCATATAACACGGAATTATCTACAGTGTTATAGGGGGGGTCTACTGTACTTCAGACTTGTTTCTTTTAATTGTCTTCATTTATTTCAGGTTGGCTACCCAATAAAGCAGAATTTACCTAGCTATCTATAAATATGATCTCTGAAAAACATATACACTATACATATATATGTACTATGAAACATGACTAGAATATATATATATATATAATTTAATTCTTTTTACCCTGTTGGTACCAAGATGGCCTTTCTTAGCAAGTCCATTATGGTTTTGCCTTCACCCAGATCCACAATGAGGCAGCGGGAGAAGGCCTAACATATATAGACAAATCATCCCCGAAAAAACTCTTGGGGTTTTTTGACCTGTCTGGATTCAGATCTGGAATCCCCAGAGTGGTAGCTGCCACCAAAGTTGCTCAGCCATCTGACTATAAACTAGAATATGTTATATGACATATTTATAAACTGATACCAAATTTTATCCAGCAATCAATCAGAACAAATATGAGATGTCATAAAGGTAAGTCAAATGTCACATAAGACTGATAACAAAACTAACAAGAACAGATTTAAAATAATAATTAGAAAGAAAGAAAATGGAGAAGTTACTATCTTCAAATTGTACATTTGATGGTAATCAGAAAGGACTGATCTCAGTAAAAATGCTAACAGTTTCTGAATACATACTTGAAGTGCAATGATATCTGTTTGCTTCAAACTGATATCATTGCAAAAAAAATATTACTGTAATTAATTTAATGTGATGAATTATTTTTCTTCTTTTTCTTGTAGAGAAATAGTTTTTTATCTTCAAAAACATTTAAGCCAATCATTATTGCAATGAAATAATAAAACAAAGAATACATATATATTAAGATAGCAGCAATTCCTATAGAGAAATCATTGGCTCTCTAGAATCCTATTATCATCCTCCTATTATAAAAACCAAATAATGCAAAAGACTAAGTCCAAGTATAATCTTTTGCCACATCTTGAGAGAATAAGAATATTAGATTAATGATAAAACAGTTGTGTAAGTTTAAGAACTGCATAAAATTTGTTAGAATAAAGTTCTTTTTGCTATTGAAAGAAACATTTGAATGGTTTTATGTCTGTATATAACCATGATAGCAAAACTGGGCTCTGTACAGCCTATTTATACAGTTTTTTTTAAAATAAACTTAAACTTTATATATATATGATAGTGTTCTAATCAAGAATGCAGCTCTCGATATGCAATGTATGATTCCTATCATTACAAGGTTTAGCCAACCCTAGTATATAAGAAAAAAAAATTAGAAGCAATGAATTGCCAAAGCACAATTTGTTTAGAAGTAAAACATTTGCTTAATTAGAAATACTGACTGAAGAAATAAAAGTGTAAAAAAATAAAAAATTCTATTTTCATATACACCAGAAAATCCAACAAAAAATGTTTAATTATATGAACAAACATTTTTGACAGTTATAAAATGAACATCTTCAGGTTGAAGAATGGAAGATAGAACTTGAATCTTTTTTTAAAAATGAACATGTCTGAATTTTATTGGGATAGAATATATATGTAAGAACTGACATGAACCCTCCTGGCTATGGTCCATCAATACAGATTTTCACATATGGATCTCCACATGTGAGAGAAAGGATCCATATCCCTGTAAATCAGTGTTTTTAACCCTTATATCTCATGGCACACTCAAACCTATAATTAAATTTCCATGTCACAAATCATGTGATTTAAAGTTGTTTTTGTAAACATTCTATTGCCATATTACTTGCCACTTAATCTAATTCTTCTTGTCTATGTTTTGTGAATTAAATAAAACAATATTGTTGTTCCTTAAAAATAGCAGCAGGTTACAATAACAGTTATTTAAATTAATAACTTTCATTTACATAAGAAAAGCAATTAACATTGTCTTAATTTGCATTTAAAAGTGGAATGATAATTACCTTTAAAAACATACTCAATTCCTGCTATTTCTAAGTTAAAATACTTTGAACTAAATATATTAGATTTTATATATAACTAGCTGCAAGATCCCGCTTCGCTGGGTTTTTATTTGTATGTAATAGTATAGTTTTTTTTATATATATAAAAGACTGTTTTTCTAAGTAATCTAGAATCTAGCTTCAAGGACCCGCTTCGCTGGGCAAAAAGTAACGATAGTGAAGATTAAGATAATTACATTATAGCTAATCTTACCCGTTTTCACAGAATGCAAGAATTAGGTCCCCCGTTTCCAGACTAATTAGAGAATTTTTACGTTTAGTCAAACGAACAAATTTCAACGTTTCTGGAACGTTTTCAATCGTTCTATAATCGAACCAATTCGAATTTTATGTTCGAATTTAATTCGAACAAATTCGAAAAAATCGAACAAAACATTCGAAATAGAAAGCCACTTTCAACTACTTTCAGCCTCATATCTCCCGCACCCTTATAGCTATCGAGACGCAACCACTCCTATGCACGAATGGAGACTTGGTGCTACCACCACATACAAACACCATTCACATGCGATGTGTAGTTTTGGCGAAAAAGTGAGATATAGGGACATACATGTCCATTTTTATATATATATATAGATTTTAGATATATTTTTCATTTAAAGAAAATTTCATTTTAAATGAAATAACCCAATGTTACGCACATAATTTTGCTTATGAATATATATTTTTTACTGTATCATGTATACATTTATTATGTACACACTTAATAATGAAAAATTTGTGTAATCAATTTAAAGAGGTTTTAATTTTAACATGTACACTTATTGTTCTTGGGCTTCTTTCGAAATAATTTATTTAAAATAACCTTGAAAAATTTTTGCAGCACACCTACAGTCCTCTTGTGGCACACTGGTTGAAAATCACTGCTTTAAATGACAGTCAGTTCTCTAAAGGAAGCTTTATAAATTGGCTCAATTCAACCTCTGAATAAGACAATTGGAACCTGTAGAGCAATTGGAGCTATACAGCATACCCATAGGAGCAAAAAAGTCAAAGGAACCATATCTCTACAAGTGACCTTTGCAAGGTACAGCCCCCAAAATCAGGTCAAGTGAGATTGCAAGTCATATTACTCTGCTAAGATTATCATGTTTAATTGTTTAGTCCATATGACTATGCCGGCTTTGAGCAGCCCACTTGACTATTTGTGGAGTACTTGATGTTATATAGTTTTAGGGGAATATGTGGGGTTTGCCCCACCCAAGTGCTTTGGTACTCGCTAATGCTTGCACTGAAGCACACAATTACATATGGAGCATCAGTCAAGACAAGCGACAGCAAGCCTTGATGTTGCAGAGCATGTAGAATAGGCAGTATACTGATACACATTAGAAACTGACCTTTCGAGGCAACTATCTCGCAAAGGGTTGCATGCACAGATAAGGTTCCTTTCACTTTTTGCTTGTAAGAGTATGCTCTACAGCTCTGTTAAGATACCAACCGTCTCATTCAGAACTTGAAATGAGCCACAAACACTGCTTAAAATAAGAATTCTTTTATATTATCTCAAAATGACAACTGAAAAATATGAAAAATATACTATCAGAGTCTATAGACTCAATAAAAATTTGAATTCACACAATCATATCAATCTTAAGGTTTGTTCCACTGGTTGAAATTGTGCACATTTTCACCTAAATTTGACGTTATTATTTAGAATTTTTCATTGTAAACCTGACGCAATGACGTCAAATTGACGTAAAAATGTGGATAAGTCCAACAACTCGAACAGACCAATCAATTATCACATAACATTTTACACATTATGAAGATATTGTTTTGAAGATTTTTTAAGATACGTCAATTGTTACGTAATTTACCATTCCTTGATGGTCAATATAATAAAAATATTCTCTAATTTTTGGTTCCGGCGATTGGCCTTGAACATATAAAGGTCTGCATTTCGTACATATTCCATTACTTTGCCTAATAATTAGGAATTTTTTAATTTTCACGTACTTCAAAAATTGACACACGGTGGAAGCCGCCATGTTTAAAATCCTATCAGCTGATTGTTTTTGAACAGAATCAATTATGTTCACAACAATTTAACAAAATTAACATTATATTAATTAATATTTTACAAAAGTTTAAATTAATTATGAGTAATTATAGTGAAAATTTTTAATCGAAATTTTTTTGTAAAATCCAAATAGTAGACATTATACAGTCAAAAGCGATAATTATAATAATTTATAATATAATTTTTGTTATTAATTTGTGAAAATTAATAAGTAACTTTTAATATTAAGAGTTTTAAAAGTGCAGAAAAAATGATTAGTTTGGAATATATCCGTAAGGTGGCGGTTTTTTTTTGGAAGTATGAAATCGGCACGGTTGATGGTGTCGAGCATTTAACATGAAAGAACCGAAATGGACAGGTGTTCTGTTAAAACTATAAGTTCTAAATGAATAAAATACCGTTTATACGTCGCTTAAGGATATTTGTAAAGTTTTAAATATATAGAAATGGCATCGTCGACGAAAAGAGTGTGGAAACTTCGTAAGTTTTAGCCATATTTTCAAACTTTCTTATTGTTTCCAATGGAACGTGCCTAAATTTATGTTGTATTTAGTTACAAGGGTAACTTTCTCGCGGATCTCTGTAAATTAAAATTCGAATTACAACATCTGTTGCCAGTTTTTCGTTACTGTAAATGGGAGAATATTTGATATATTAATTGTTTCCAATTAATTGGTTATTTAATTGAATAAGAATGCACTTTCATGTAATTTATATATGTACACTGATATAAACAAACTGCGGCTCCGACGAGGTGGTTGGACCCTTCCAGAGCTATAGACCATGCCCTTAGGAGTAAATACAATTATAGAAACTAATGGTCTGTGTGTGATCCTTTGCAAGTTATAGCCCTAGAAATCAGTCTATTTGGAATTTTGAAAATGGGGTACAAACAGTTTAACTAAGTATGTATGAGAGAACCTGGTGACTCTATTTTGAAGGTGCCATACCTGGGTTGTCGGTGGGTCTAAAGGAAGCTAAGATGATAAAACTGGTATGGGATGGATGTCATTTAAGAATTTTAGAAACGGAAAGCTACAAAGTTATGTTTCTACTCTAAATGTGCATGGTCTACAGTTCTGATATGGTTCCGACTGCCTCGTTTGGTGTTGCATTTGTACCAAATTACTTACAAATAACTTCTATTGAATAAATTTGTCAGAGATTATCTCAATATTTTAAGTTAGATTTGAATGAAGGAGAAATATTGTGTGAAAATTTAAACACTTATTTCTTTAGTTTTAAAAAAATTGAAAATTTAGTGTTTAAAATCCAGTTTTGAATTTTTAATACTTTTATTTGGAAGGATATAATTGCCATAAATGGTTTTTACTTGCTCTGTTATTGTTACAGTGAGGTACGTACTTTTCTGTTATTGAAGTAACTTCACGACCAAAATATGCATGAAATAAAATAAATTATATGTTGAAATTTAAAGAAATAAAATGCAAGTGATGAATAAAAGAGAATATTTTTTTATATAATGCATTTTTAATGCATCAAAGATTGATCTGACAGTTGTATATATTAATTGTTGTTTAGGCAAGAATGCAATGTCTCTGTATATACTTAATTTAATATTTGTACAAGCACACATGCATGTATATAAAAACATTGTGTAGGTAGGATAGGATGTATACCAAACCAACCTTTCCCATAAGAAGTAATGTAAAAATCTGTTCTTGTGTAAAAACAACCCCTCTTGATATGGTATATTAATGGGGTTGTAAAATACAGTGGTACCTCAGGTTACGAACGTCCCAGCATACGAAATTTTCAGGATACGACATGAAATTCGAACATATTTTTGCTCCACGATACGAACAAAAACTCACCATACGACGTTACATTAGTTCGCATTTTTCATTTGTTTTTCTTACTACAGTTATTTTTTTTAATGTATTACTTGGCTTTAATTTGAGTATGTTTTTCGCGTTGAAACGAATTATTTGGTTTTACATGTAATTGTATGGGAAAAGATGATCCACCTTACGACATTTTCATGATACGAATCTCAGTTTCGGAACGGATTAATTTCGTATCCTGAGGTACCACTGTAATTTAAACACTGTTTGAGCACATTAATAAAAAAAATAAATTTTATTATAGATTTTTAAAGTTATTACATATTACATATTGTATTATATTATTTAAATCATTAAGTCAAAATCAAATCAAATCAAACTCTTTTTAACCCCTTTTGCAACGTTAGCAGATTTAATAATGTCTTTATTTTTTACGATTATCGATATCATTGTTCTCGGAATACAGTATGCAACAGTTAAATCTCAAACATGCATGCCATTTTCTCATATTTCTCAACAATCTCTTTTTTCAGTTCCATTGTGATTCTAGCCATTTGTTTTAGTTTTCTGTTGCTTTTCATTTGCCTTTTTGCAATTCATGATTAATAAAAATAATAAAATTTTACTTACAAATTAAAATCAGAAGAAATTTAACAAAGTTATAAATCATGGCATCATGAATGTCTAGTCTGGTCTAGTACATCGATAGTGCTACTTGTTCATAGATGGCACGTATAATTGAATTAAGTCGTATACTGAGCAAAATTTGTTTCATCCAAACAGGACGTATTTCAAATTGGATGTATTCTAAAACAGACTTATACCAAGGTACTGTACAACTGTATATCAAAAAATCAAAAACTAAAAATTTTAATTTCCAGAGTATGTATTATTATTACTTTTCCCTTATTTATAGATTTGGTATTGATTATATAAATGGAGTATTTATGTATATAACATGCAAGATATAGAGTAAGCTAATTGTAAATTTATAAATGTGTAAAAATATGCATTGTGTAAATTTTCCTTAAGGATAGATATGCAAGAGTGTGGTTACTTGTAAACACACTCAAACCTTTACCAGCAAAAAAATGATTGCATCCTAATAGTTAGAAACATTAGATTAAGCATTGTTTATAACATATAAAGGAATACTTTAATTTGAATCAATTATACAAATTAGCAAAGGGAATGAAACTTCAGAATATTAATAAGTTGGAACCAGTTTATTTGAAATGTTTAGTAGTTACTTAGAACAATTCTATGAAAGTTAAAGTAGTACTTTATCTAAGAATAAACATAATATGAATATCTTTCTCAATAAATTATGTTTTTTTTTTCTTAATAAACTAGAATTTTTAAAAATTTTAATTTTTATGGGACTTGATTGTTTGTCATAGAATATTTTGTTATACTATAGTCAGTTTTTAATGTGTGAAAGGTCCTGGATTCTAGATAATGTATTTTGAGAATTAAGTTACAAATATGAATATAGTGGTGATCCTAAACAAAAAAAAAAAAGAAAAATTATCTTAGTTTATAAAATTAGATTAATAAGGGTTTCTTTTGTAAACAAAAAGTGGAAGAGATTGTGAAACAAGAATGAATAGAAAATTTTGAGTAATTCAAACACAAATTATTATTGTATTTATTTTCAGGCACTTGGCAATTTTTATCATCAAATTTTTTATTTAGTCGGATAATTTCATGCTGCAAATTAGATGTAGTTTCAATAAAAATATTTGATGTTTTGCCCATTTCTCATGTAAAATTGCTAGTATACATATCCAACTTTGTTTCTTTATCCCAGACAACTGTTACAAGTGTCAATAACCAAAGATACACTCAACTGATTTTTGCATATCGTTGTGCAATGTAATTACTCAATGTTGACATGTAGCATCCTGGTTAATTGCCTTATTTCTTTTTCTGAAAGTATCACTTGGAACAACTGGTCTAATTAATAAGAATTAATTAAATCTGTTTATATTGATAACAGTTATTTTGTATTATTAATGCATATATTATTATTTTTGATTCTAAAAAGTAATAANTATATAAAACAACACACATACAATATATTATATAAGGTTTTAGAGAAACCAAGATGTATACAGTATAAACACTTCTAGCTATCTATAAAAGCAATGCCATATCCAAATTTTATTATCTATTAAAGTATAAACAGCTTATATTATGTTACATCTTGTTTATGTTTAAAGTTACTTACAGGTTACGAAAGCTTGTTTTGAGTTATAAATAGAATATTTAATAAATGCTTTTATACATATCTTTAGCATGTTTTACTTAAATACCAATGCCATATTTGTATTTAGTACAAAGATCACTTAACTTCACTGTACAATGATAATTGATGTTGACAATAGCTGAAACAATTAGCATTGTTTAATATTTACATGCTTATATTTATACAAATTTAAATTCAATGTAAATAATTTAACAAACAATAGAAGAGGAAGTGACCTTCCATATGCCATTTTGAATATAAAAAAAATTTGTGGCAGAATTTTTCATGATTTTTATACTTTTCTAATGCTTTTAAACTTAACTTATACACAAAAACCAGTTTTGTATTGTGTTATGTAGGAAATTATCTTATGCTCTAGACAATTCTGATACTTGGTGATTGTTGCTAATAAGGATAAGAAGTTTGTGCATTTAAAAATATTTTTAAATTGCACACATCAACTATAAAGAACTTAAGAAAAATTTAAAAGAAAATACATTTATAAAGATCTTAAATTTGGAAGTCAACTTATCATATAGATTATCTTAATCCACCCATATATAATCAATAATGGATTATCTTATCTTGGAGATTATAATCTTACAAATGTGCAAGATAGGAATGCTTTTGTGTTTATTCCTCTCAGGTTAATTTGTTTTATTAATATTTTATTGGATATAAAAAAAGAAAAAATATTTTTATGTAATTAATAATTATATATTCTAACATTTAAGTCTGTATATTTCAAATATTCATTGCCAAACAAATATATTTGATAGAAAGTTTTAATGATTGCCACTAAATTCTTACTTTACTTGAGTAAGTGTTATATAAGTTTAACAGTATAAAGCACTTCTTACAGACTTCCTGGGTTTCGTTCAGATTATTGATGAGTTAGTTGACCTCTGTTTAAATATTTATAACTGATAAGATTTAATAGAAAGTTTCGTAAAGTAAGTCGGATCTATAAAACATACATTTTAAACAGTATATCACGCAGTCAATTAACACATGTCAAAGTATTTTAAAAAGAAAAGTAGTACAGTGATTTGCAAATTAAACATTAATGTCGAAACTTATCGGAGCAATGATTTTACTCGCAATTATGTTGTGTTTAATTATTCTGTTCTGAGGAATTCTCCATATTCAGAATAAATATCAATGACAAATATCTGCTTGCTTCCTTGCAATGCTGACTAAAATGATGGATTGCTACATCGTTGTGCATGGTGCAGATATTTTATACATTAACATTTTCTTTATAAAGTTCAGCCGGTGTTGCCATATCAATATAAACCACATATTTTTTTATTAACATTTTCATCAGTCAGTGACTGATATACATTTTAATAAATTATCTTTTAGTTAGGAATATAAATTATTTAAATATTTTTTAAAGAAATTATTTGAACAAATGTAATATAAAC